CTAACAAAATATTAAAAGTAAAGTTACACAATTATTTAATTAATATAAAGAGTTCTTAATGACAAGTATTCGTTAAACAAAATGAATTAAGATATTCGTCAACACCTGTGAGTGATAACAGGCTCGACCAAAGCTTATCGCTCCGCTATGCATGGACGCCTTATCTACCGAGTTATTCCGACTCTACTTCTTAGAACATTTAACGTACTTATAAAGTTTATGACAAATTAATTTCTTAACTATAAGTTCTACAGATTTTTATGTAAAACCAGATAACGTTATCGCAAGAGGTCTGATTGCAAAATAACAAAACTATAAAATAGGATGAGGATAGGAAGGTGAAGATTTGGACTCACCAGCCGGCCTTCAGCATCTTCCGTTGCTCTTCACTTGACGAATTTGTATTGGTTCGCAGGATCGCCTCGCTGCGCGAACGCGGTAAACGATTTTTCGTATATATTCGCGGACGGCACAAGCAACCGACGATCCTACCGGCTGCGCCAGTCAAGTTATAGGGAGCCGTGAAGAGCTTTTTAAAAACTAAAAATAAAACTAAGAGATGTCTGTACAGAAGCTCATGTACTTTCAGAATGAATGACTTATTCTAATTCGTCCTGTTGCAGACTTACATTATCTATTGCTTATGGCAGTGTCTAGACATGGGCCACACATAGAGTGCAAAGTCAGCAAGCGTTACTATGCGCGTACTTCTATGACTCTGTGTGGGGTCGAATTCATAACTACTTTGTCATATGTACGTTATATTATGGAATGTAGGTAGTATAATAAACGAACGTTTGTTTGATTTTATAATGTATATAGGTAAAGTGTAAACACGTATTGTTTACAAATCGATCCGCAGTTAGGTCACTGGGCCACGTCTATTTACATTTTTAAAACGACGACATACACATTTTAATAGAACAGAATATATTTTATATCTATCGCAAGATTACAAAAAGAAAAACATCCGTTATCACATCAGTACAACTTTGTGTATATAAAATACAGTTTGAACTTTGTCGCCGATTCAGCGTATTTGCTTGACAAACACAGAATACGCTGAGCCCGAACGAATTTGCTATCATGGTTGAACAAACAACTATTGTAGACGGTTCGCGAATATTGCAAATAGTTGGCAACTATGAGGCCGTTGCTGATAAGGAGCTGCGAAATCGACTGCTGTTGGGTTGGAGTGGCAGGCTCCAATCAGTGTGTACGCTACGCATGTGCACTGGGCGCGGACTGACCTGATCTTGCCATCACGGTACGGGTTATGGAATTTTGTAAACTGCCTGCTCCAAGCTTTCTTTCTACCGTAAGTGTCGGAAGAAGTGTTTCTATGCAGAACTGAACCAAGTGCTTTACTCGTGTATCTATATATAGGTGGAAATATATTAGTGCGTTTGGTAATAATTTAGATAACTTAATTTATCGAACTTTGTCTGATATTATCAAGCATGCAGAAAATCTAAACACATACATAATTAAAATTTGTATGTCATATACGCATTTCTCCCTAATAATTTTTTTTAATGTGATAACGTCATATACGTCCTGGAGTCGTAATCTACAAAAGATATTATTTTGGCGGTGAGCAAATGAGCGATAAGATTTAACGATGAATTTAAACGTTGAATGCGTTTACCTTAATCGCTTACTAATGATACAACTGGTAAATTAAGCGTCATAAAACCAACCAGCCCCAGTCCAATGTAAAGACTTAATGGGGTTACGATTATCGGGTTCCTGTTCCCGCGATGGTTCCCTATCTCTGATCGACAGAGTTTCAACCTTTTTAAAAATGGAAAAAATATGTGGTGGTTGACACTGGGTAAAAATTTTCATCTATGACTTCAGTTCTTAATGGATTTATACAGCTTTCTTTTATTCTTCCTCAAACTGTGACTTGACTTCTAGTTGTGTTCGTAGTGTATTGCGTTTGAAACATAAATCTCGCACCAGAATTTCCATCCACTCACATCAGCTCATTACATGTAACCACACTAGATACTTTTTAGTTTCAAAGGCTTCATACACCAGAGCGAGTTCTCTAATAAATAATCTTCTAATACGCATTCATGATAAAATCTGAAAACTGGCTTTGACAGCTGTTTAAAGAGAGACAGCGAATCGCGGCAACAACACGCCAAACGAGGACGGTCAGGTTTTGTTGTTCAAGATTGGAAAACGTAACATGGACTAGGCGAGGGGCGGAATGTTGTGTTTAAATTACTGGTAGCATAAGGTTGAGTTTTGTTCGGATGCGGGGATCACTTACGACCCTCAAAAGTTTTGGTTGGCGTCAAGAAACCGGCGGGACCGGTCGAGGAAGGCCCGGCTGCGCAGGGTCGCCACACGCCGACTGTGCCCATTGTTCTCAATATCTGGACGAAACTTGACTTTCACGTCTCGACGTTTCCTTTGATAGTTTAAAAATATACACTGCTGCTTAGCCGGATGATAACATCCGAAATACAAGCAGAAAATTCTCAGTTAGACCGATTATAAAAGTTGTTTATTAATTTAACTGCACAATTTTAACTTGGGTTTGTATGGCAGAAAATTTTCGGTCTTGAGTAACCCGCTACCATCATACATCAAAACATAGTGTGTATTGCGACACATGTGCGCATCTGTTGCGTTGCGCTTTCAATGAAGCGCTGAAGTTATCTGTGCTCAATTATGCTTTAATAACAGCGTTAGTCTCATTTAATTATTCATTGTCTTATTTTCATGAATTGGATTTTATTGTTGAATGAGTCAATGAAAGAGAATTGTCATGAAAATCGAATTTATGTTCAGGGTCTCAAAAAGAATCATGCTATGCCGAGCATCACACGCCCACGATACTCTTTTTAAGGATTTACATTGCGACATAAAATGTAGTGTCGTTCTTTTCATTATTCCCTTTCGACACAAAGCCACGGCTCATGATAAGAGTACGAGATAATATTGATTTAATGCGCAGCGTTCAACCCTAGCCGGTTGTTTTGCTTCCGACTTACGCTTCTTTTTCTGGTTAAACTTAAATCTGCCCCGGACCGGTTCTTGAACACTGTATGCTCATCATATAAACGTACACCCACACGTTTCTGCTTACACAAACGCGAAGCACACAATCATCACCTTCTAGACGCCAATCATAGAGACTGTATTCCTTTACACGTGCAACGCGTTTGATGTTCACGTAAACTGCCAAGTAACACATCATGCGTGACCTTTATTGCGGGGCGGCAGAGGTGGTTTTGCCTCGACACTGGTTGCTACGGCTCGACTTTATCCAAGTGGGCTTGTCAGCTAATACTAGTTATTGCTCCGCCGACTGCTTTGTTCGAATAAACAGTTATTTTGCCCCATGGCCCGGGGCGCGCTCACCAAATACAATACACGCAGCGACCACATATATTTATATAAAGTTTTGATACCAATTTGTAACTTTCTTATAATAGAAGCAAATTTAATATAGCTTCCAAGCCCATCGAGCCGTGATAGCTCAGTGTCCGGACGCTCGCCTTTAATTCAATATACTCGAGCAACCTGAGTTCGATGCCCGGTGCCGGCACCAATGAAGTTTTTAACTTTAAGTGCTGATTTGTCACGTGCTCCGCGGTGAAGGAAAGCATCGTGAGGAAACCTGCATATTTTCGAAATAATAACAAAAAAAAAATAATATTTCGAAGATATGTGAAGTCCGCCAATCCGCAGTGGGGCCGCGTGGTGGACTATGCCCTGATACCCTCTGTATAGAGGAGGCCTTTGCCCAGCAGTGGGACATGTATAGGCCGTTACTTTACTTTTTACTTTTTCCAAGCCCAATCCAATGACTGATTAACAACCACAAAATAGGCAATGGAGAAAATAGCGAAATATAGTTGAATCCTATCGATTGAAGATCGTTCTAATTGGAAAAAAATAAAACAGGGGCAGTTGCACAATCGTAGCAAATTTATATTAGCTCTAATCTGTATGTTTGGGAGACATGCGAACATTATATAAAATATATTATCAATCGCTTTTTTTGTATGATACAAATGTAGTCAGCTCCTAAAAACTAAATAATGAATGTTACGGTCTCCAACATAGAAAACGATAAGAACAGAGCCGCGTTCGTATCAGGCCGACTCTTTGACCTGACGATCCACCCTAACAAAATGAGCTTTTGTTACAAAAGGCTTGAGTACGATCTATAATGTTTTTTGCCTCCATAGGTGGTGTATTGCTTTTACAAACTTCATCATTTAAAATAAGCTCGTCCTGCATCCACCTCGCAATCGATGATAGGTAAGGACGAGAGTTTGCACTGTATTTGCAGACTCTCGACCAAGCAGTATAGAGATCTCACCAAACGGTTCATCGAAAGAGCCGAAAACATTTCCGTCCTTCTGTTCACTGACTAGCAGGCCTACTTCCGAAAGATTCCAGTTCTGAATCAACCGAATTTGACTCGAATTCATGTCAGTTCGTACCACTGAATCTGACGCCAGCGCATAAACGAGTCGTGGCTCTTATTTTAAGTAACTAAGATCGAACAATTTAAAAAAAAAATAAGCAATTAAAATTTTATCTGAGAAAAATGTTATAACCGTAAACATGGAACATATTTGTCTGTGACGTATACAATTAACGGATCTGATTTTGTACTGTTTTGTTTCTAGTTTCTATTCGGTTCGGGAGTAAGCTTTTCGAATCGAGTTTGGATCGAAAAGAACAAATTCGAATCGATTTTGGGGAGTAAGACGGTAGCTCATGAAGTGTCCTCATTGCCTCAATCGAGGAACGGGGCGTAATTACGGAGCCGCCTGTCATCCCACCACAGAAGACTACAACTAAATATAGTGAGAACACACATAACACATTAGTTCGATCTAGTGTACGAGCACGGCGAAACCAATAACGCGAAAAAATCCCCCATTTAACAAAGTCAACGGCCATTGAGGACACGGCCCGTATCTGTATGATTCTGTGGTAGGGCAGCAGCAGCTTTGGCTGTTGCACAAATGGGCAGGCGCGTCCGGGGAAGTGAGACCGTCTCACGTGTTGCAGATGTCCATGGGCGGCGGTAATCACTTGACAATTTATCACATAAAAAAAAAACAAATCCCGATGACATTCGTGCCTATAGATAACGCACGCAGGAGCACGGTCCTACCCTCAACGGAGGGCCGTATAAAGCTCGTGGGATCTCACTATCTCACGAGTTCTGCGTTAGTTAAAGCTTTAATAGTCTAAGAACTGAAATCAAATCCATCAGACATTGTAAAGTGACGGTTTCATAAACATGAGAGACAGGTTTTGAAAGTTACTAATTATTTACATATTATAGTGTACATACAGTTTTGGGACACATATCGAGATTTATCCTTTCAGATATATTATTTCGATAAAGAGAGGGATAAAAGAGGCAAAGTAAAACATCATTAGGAAGGCACAATCGAAGGTCCCGGGAGGGCGGAGCCAAGTGGACTACATTTCAGGAATAGCTGCTCTCAACGATCTCGAGGGCCATCATCCGGGTAAGTTTAACTAGATAAGTTGCTGCCCGTCGGGCCCTCAGGGCTGGATTCTATTGCGGATGTTGCCTTACGCATGTGAACATTGCGTCCATATTTATCACCGATTACTGGAGCGCCAATGGACTAAGCACTTTCCTCGTCCCACATTGTTTTGATTCAGTTTTGCTGTTTGTTATGCTGCATTTCGTATGTATGCAATTCAATGTTTTTAACCTAAGTATGTACTTCATTTGTAATGTGTGTTACTAATTACTCCTGGAGTTATTATTACTCCATGTCTACTTATCTAAAGATGGATATCAAATTTAATATTATATTGAACATTCTTAATTAAAGGACCTTGTGGGTTTTGTAACTCAAATTGCTTACTTTTAGTTGGTATGATGTGTGACAAGTGCGCCCGCAGGCAATCACGAGTTATCCATATAAATGTACGGAGGCGTCTAACACAAACTGCTTCTCCATGGAACTTGCTGGACCACTATACGCTTGTCCCTTTCGCACGTCACCGGCAAAAACGAGACGGCCGACCGCTGCTCACAACCAGTTAGCTAAGGATTACATCTTATATTCAAACTCGACACTTTCTTTTGTGGAATTGTCAAAACTACGAACATTCTCATTTAAATTTTAGAAACAATGTAACTGTTTATCTTTATTTGATATAAAACAATTTCTAATGTATTATGCATTCACGGTGCTTACACAATGCAAATCCTGGTGCTCGATAGAGACATCATTTGTATAATACATAGACGCGATAACTGTCGTCGTACTTGTATTATTTGTTTGACATTTAACCTAAATGTTGTCAGCCAAAGTTTCACTTAGGCAAGCAGTAGTTGATTCTAAATTTATCGTATTTTCCAGGTTCGTATGTTGACTGTAGTGTCACATGTTTTATACATGCTCATGGGTATCACTTCACATCGGGTGAACCGCGACCTCGCTCGCCAACTTTTCACCTAAACAAAAGAATAATGACAACCGAATCAACATATTATAAATCTACTCTAAGTTTAGGTAAAAACAATAATTTAAAATGTACACTCAGTACATGAATATCCAAAAAAAACGAGCATCAATAAATTATTATGCATTCATTATAACTAATGTTCAATATAAAACATAAATAATATCTACAATTATAATGACTATTATTTATAATTTTAAACTATCAATTATCATTACTAAATGTTTTCGCATATACATATAACCGCGCGTGTAGGTTACACGCGTTATTTTTTTTAAATGATGCGCTATGCTTCTGATTCGTCTGTGAAATTGACATTTGAAATTGAAATTTGTCATGTTTAAAGTGAAATGTCTTTTCATACACGATTTACAAAGTTTATTGTATTCATTTCGATAATTGTTCTATATGGCGATGCTTCGCTGTTGTCGAGGTTCCGCAACCGTCAAGAGTACTTGCCCAACGCGGACCTGGAGGTGATACAGGGCCTGGACGACAAAATGTACGAGGACTTGATGAACGAGATCCCCATACTGAGGCAGGTGATCAAGGGCAACAGGAAGAACAAGACGCTTCGGCTGGAAACGAGCGCCCTGCCCTTCGTGTTCGGGGAAGGGGAGGTGCCGAAGGCGAGCTCCGCGGCGCTGGGCAACTACGCCAACTCGACCGCCGTCGGCGGCAGGCGGCTCCCCTACCGCACCAGGTGGCCGTCGAACAGCAGGCTGCGCTCCGAGCGCACGTCCCCTGCGCGCCGCGGCGGCCCCGACACCTGGCCCGACATCACCTTCACGGCCTTCTGGCGGCTCGTCTACCCCTACCTCATCTCGTGCTTCTGGTGCGGCCTCAACGAGACGCTGCTGCCGCAGACGTCGCTCTGCCACGACGTGTTCGACTCGGACGACGGCGACGCGCGCAAGATGTGGCGCTTCTTCCGCGCCCGCTGCTTCTACTACGACAGGTGGCGCTACTACGACAGGCAGTTCCAGAACAGGCACCGCTACCCGCCGTTCGTGGTGTGGAAGTGGGACGTGGGCCTGAAGAAGGACATGTTCGGGCCATACATGCACGGCTGCTTCAAGCGCTACGTGGATGTGGGGCCGCTGTACACGTCGCGCGGCTGCCGCGGCCGCTTCCTGCCGTGGCGCTCCTACACAAGGGACTTCGCCGCCCACCGGCTCATGAGGCTGGAGCTGGTGGCGAGGGGCCACGCGGACGTGTGCGTGCACAGCCCCTACGCCTCGCTCACGCCCTTCAGCCGCTCCGTGTCGCTCTTCGTGCGCTACCACGTGTGCGTCTGCGACACGCGCTACTGCAACCTCTCCGCCCCACCCGCCCCGCCGCCGCCGCTGCCCACGCTACTACTTCTGCATTCCTACATGTTGCTCTTCCAATAAGTTTACAAATAAACCTTAAATACGCTCGTCAACATTGCAAGATCTGTCGTGACCGCCCTTTTCTCCTCGCTCTAACATTTTATGCGTGAAGTTTATTTAAAAAGAATCACGTTGCCCATTTGCTTTTTTGCTGCCACGTTGCCATGACGACAACATAGCCTGATCCACGACTGCGCAAAAACTTTTGGTGGATTTTTTGCGGCGTTATGTCATGGGGGCAGTGCCTGCCGGCTCTCGTGCGATTGTTCATAAGAAACCAAGACTACAGTCCGTACGACTGATACGAACCTTTCTTTATTCACATCGCTCTGTTATGTTATAAGGGCAGCTCGTACCCGGCGTTGCTACATTTAACTGTATAGTCTGTATATAAATCACAAAAAAAAAACACGAAAACAGTTCGGAAAAAACTTCGAACAAACCAAAGCAAGAAAAGTTTCGTTATCGGAGACAACGTGATATGAGGCATGCTTTCGGCGTGTTTCTTCGCGTTTAGTTTGATGAAACATTAACACGCCGAACAATTTCGCGGGCAGCGGAACAAGCAAACAAAGGGACAGGGCGGACCAGCGCGCCTATGCACTTTACTGTGGCAACGTTACCACTAGAGTCCGTCACAAATGATGTTGACCAACCCAATAACTGTCGCACCAACGATTATACTGGTTACATAACATGAAGGTGATCACATAGATATAGTTGTGTATGTCTTTACTTATGTTTCTTTCCAACTATAACTTCATTTGAAATGTTACTTCCAAGCAATATATTATGTGGAACATATTCAAAGTGTGCATTAAATCATTCCGGTATTCGTTCACAACACACTGTAGCTAGCAAGGAGTGCATAGCACACAATTATATGCATATTACTCGGCATACATACCCTGAGTGGGGAAAAAGTACACATTACTTTTTTGTCCATAAGTTGTTCATGTAACGTGTACAGTTCGGGATTGATTTTTTATAATGTTCTAAGTATAAAATGCCGGGTGTTTTTTTTTTCTTTTACTTGCATTTTCTTCATATTCTTGCTTCATATTATACTTGCATTTGCTTTCCTTCATATTCTATGTGACCGATCGAGGGGTTTGCATTATTTTTTGAATACAGCAAATGATTAACACAATGTGGCGGCATCCGTCTCTCCACCAAAGTACAATGTACGTGAGAAGGCTTCTACTAACAACAAGCTTTTTGCACCTCTGACCAACTGGTCAGTTGTTAAAAAATGAAGAGAACGGTTTCTTTAATACTGACACGTGAATTATTTACAATTATTTAGATGAAAGAAGCATCTAGATTTCTCAAAGCCTTGATAAGATCTTATTTAGTGTGGTAAGGAAAAGGCAATGGTAAATTAAATACAATAAAAACACATTCTACCTGTTGGCGGACCTGACGCGTCGCCTATGACTCCATCTTAAGGCTGATTCTCAAATATAGCATCATAAAATGGGTAATTATATAGATATTATAAATAGTTGTTAGTGATTTCATTTATAAAGTTTAATAGGTGCTAGTTATCCAATGTGTAGTGTCCGGAAAATGATGGGGATCACATCACGACAGAAAAAACTCTATCTATTCTTGCCTTGTGTTGACTTTTGATCACGTAAGCGATTGAATCGGAGAAATGTACCTCATTGCCAAGGTCAGCGGTTCGAGATCTCTTATCGATCTATTTATAAACAAGACAAATAGTTGTACAAAAATAGCTTCATCCAACGGAAAATCAATTGACCAGCCAAGAACAGCAAACGATTGTTTTCATCTCCATTATTTTTTGGTTGGTTTGTAGTCGCGGCATGCTTCTTGCATGATGGTTTTTTTCAATTACATGTGTACTCTCTTGTGGGCTTCATAAGTGTAAGGTGTCTGCTCCATGCAAGATATTTTACTTAACCTTGAGAACGTCGCCGTCGAGTCCGGCAATACAAGCGCAATCAATATAAAAAAACTGGCCAAGTGCGAGCCGGACTCGCGCACGAAGGATTCCGTACGACTATCTATAAAAAATCGTGTCTGTTGAATGGGAGCCACACTTAAATATTTTTTATTCTATGTTTTAGTATTCATTGTTATAGTGGCAACAGAAATACATAATCTGTGAAAATTTCAACCGTCAAACTATCACGGTTCTTGAGATACAGCCTGGTGATGCACAAACGGACAGACAGACAGCGGAGTCTTAGTAATAGGGTTACTTTTTACCCTTTGGGTATGGAACCATAAAAATTATCAACACATAATGGCAACGGATACAATTGGCAATGAATGACTTTGCCGTAGGAAAAACACCGCTCAATCGCCCCTCAGTGACTCCGTGAGTCAGAGCCGATGTAAAAAATTGGTCCAAGTTACGTAAGCCCCGCGGGCGGGGTGACTTGCATTAAAGCCCTAACGACCATGATAACGCGCTTAATGGCCGCGCCAAAAAGGATGCGCATTTCCATCTCACCAAGGTGATTCTTCCTCAAACCCCGCATCCTCCTGCTTGTATAGTGAACTTTTGAAGAATATTCGAAATATCTCTTAAATCACAAACAGCGGTCCGAAAGCGCTGTATGTGGTTCTTTTGAAAGGTTCATGTCGGTTTATACGATTACAGGACCCATTCATGATAAAACGCCGTAAAATATTGTAAAGCATGGAGATAATCGAAACTAATGTTGACACCGGAGCTTGTATGATAAGATTAAAGAGATTGATCACTTCAAAGGTGACGTCACCAATACTACTATTAACATCGGATTGTTTGTTTAACTATAAAATGTTGACACGTAAGACCACTGCAGAGCACTAATTCAATGAAGCACAGCTCTACTTTTTCGTCTTCAAAAGATGTCAAAGTTTTTTTTTCTTTAATTCACGAGGCATATAATAATATGACAACTAGGTTTTTTTATTGAACTTGGTTAATGCTCATCGTCTTCACTGATGGTAAGTGGTGATGCAGAAGCAACTCGTGGTAACTGAAGTCTTTATTCGTGCTCGGGTTTAATCCGCTTATGTTGAACGCACTACAACAGCTTACACCTGTTAGAGTAAGTATATATTTCGGCTTACAAATGCTCATTTTTTCCTTCGCCGCTTTAAAGTGACTTGGATAAACAGGTTGTCTCCTCAAAAAAGGCAACATGAGAGGTTTTGCTCGAAATTTGGTAGCATTTTAAAATAGTACATATTGAATGACGGGAGAGTAAACATATAGCAGTCATGTGCTTTTAAAACCAACTTGATCGGATTGCTTTAAGGCTTTTTGTGGATGTCGTATAAATATAGTCGTGACTGCAACTCGTTTAGCTCTATTTTTGGTAAATGTCACTTTTATTTAAAACATCTTAGAGGACAATGTAAATGTATGTACAGCATGTAAAGGTATTAGGAAAAAAAGAGTGCCTACACGCACCTATTACCCTTCTCTTTCTCGTAATTATGTCACTAATTTAGCACATAACAAACTGAATTATCGACCGCGTCATTAACCTCACTAACCTCAATATCACTAAATTTATACTCGTATAACATTATATCCATACATACTGGCAATTAAATTGACTTATTTTGCAGTATTAATTAGCTTGATATAAGGCACCCGCTTATTTTTAAATCAGTCAAAGATTATTTTGTTCATAACTACAATAATGTTAAGTATGTGTTAGCCAATAAATGAGTTTCAATGAGTCTCTTTAATTATTGTACGATCGACTCTTGCCAATGAATAGATACAGGAATACAGTAGTGGATCGTCCGGGAAACGACACGGTCACGCAGAAGGCCAAGGAAGGAAACTGGATTTACATTTGTTCTGCTGAGTAAGGCGAGATAGCTCTCGAGGGTTGACAACGATAAGGCTTTTTTTTGTATAACTGATGTTACACTTTCAGTTAGACTATCAAAGCTTCATGAAACCGGTGGGCTAGCCAGAATTCAAGGGTTTGAGGCCCTTCTCAGTGGGAAGGGCCGCGCATGTACTCATGCTGGCTAGCAACGTTATTGAAATACCTCGGATGCTGTTATTGTTCATGAGCTATAGTAATCGCTTACTATCTGTAGATAAAAAATCAACACTATTTTAGCAATCAAGAAATTAAAACGTGCAGATAAAAGTGTGTGTTCTAATAATTGTAAGGCTGAAATTTTGGCATTTGCACACCAAAATTCTTTATCAAACGAAGATAAGAGCTAGCAAACACAATGAGCAAACAAGGTGTTCAAACCTAAGTAATATTAGGTACTGTACAGTGTCTATTTAAAAGCCAATCTGTTGCGATGATTTATCATTACGAAATAAACACAAACAAAAAAATACACGTCTAATCTCATAAATATCAGTTGTGCTCCTTAACGAAAAAAACAAACTCAAAGCCAATCGATTTGCAAAAGGCTTGAAAATTCTAAGAAATTGTAGAGTATTGTGCGAAGTCTACTTTGCGATGCGTCATGGCCGCTGCACACTGTTGTCGGCGACAGCTTGTCTAGCGGTGACCGACGGTCGAGCGAGACGAAACACACGCAATCTAATGTGCGCGACCGAAACAGCGAATCTTATACAATTATCGCGTAACATGATTTGTCTCTTTCTAACCATTGGAGTTAGAGTGAATTAGCAATTGCGCTGCATTGTCGAGGTCAGAGCGTCCTTCAAACGCCTGAGGAGTAGTGTTACCACCCGACTGAATTTTATTTGACACTTTGGTTCCCTTAAATATTACGACGTTATATATGGCCGCCGTCTTACCCAAAAACTACTTTTATCAGCCATTTTACGTCCATTTTAGAATATAATGTAATGATAAGAATCTTTTCAATTCAATACAACTCTTCAAATGAAAAATTAAGTAATTTTTCACACGTACTGAATTTACACTTCGTTCAATACGAAGTTGAGTTTACTATTGTTCAATATTGTGTAGACTACATCTAATTCAATATCAAACTTTCTTTATTTTATGTTATTGTTGGCAAAGAATCTTTTTCCCTTCATTGGGCGT